TATTTTCCAGTTTGATTGTATTAAGTTACAAATTAATTACACTACACACTACATTTTTTATTATGTTAACATATTTTAAAACTGTAACAATATTAATGAGAAAAATGTTGAGTTTCAGATGTTTTTTTCACTCTATACTAAAATTAAATGGAGAACTGGTAAGTTATTGAGAATTATACTAGTTATTAATAAATAGCTATTAGCTTAGCAGAGATTTAATGATTTACGAGTACGGAAAACTGAATATCTAACTAAGTACTTTGCAGGAACAAGAATTTTCAGATATGTAAACAATAGAAATTCCAATCATTGAAGTATGTCATTCATCAGATAAGTCATCCGTATAGTGTTATTCACCAATTCTCGGTTGTGTAATTGCTTTCATGTTGATTTTAGTGGATTGATGTCTGATCACATAATAGCTTGAGTATAGTAAAAATAAAGTTATAGATAGAAGTGATCTAACTGTAGATAGTAATATTCGAGTGGTTCAACTTTCAACAATATTCATTAGATGTCAGAGATCCAAATAGGTCACGTTTTCCAGGCTTGTGCGGCCTGTCAAGTTTTTCAAACGAATACAATCATGATAACATACCAGAAACGAGATGTCTAAATAAGGCACTAAGGCTATTGCTCGTACCCGATCCTGACCTGCCTATGATAGGTAACACCCGTGATTTTCAGACCAATGAAAATCAGAGATTCAAGCAGTTATGAGCCTGTCATTTCCACTAGTCTGAAAACCATGAATGGTGCCTATGACAGCCAGGTCACGATCGAGTTAAACAATAGTCCTAGTGCCCTATTTGAACATCTCGTTTCTAGTATGTTATCATTATCATATTCGCTTGAAAAACTCAACAAACAAGTGATCTGTTTGGACTTCTGTTAGACATTCTCTATAATATAATACGAGTAAAAAATTAACTAAAACGCATCAGTAAAGACCAGTAGTCAATACTAATTTCATCTACAAATGAAGTGATATTCATGATGTTTGTTTTACAGAACTTTTAGAAAAAAATGGGTTATTTATAGATTGATAAAATTTTTTGGCATTGACATTTGAAGAACATATAAAATTCATAAAATGCTTTTGACTACCTTACTGTGTTCAATTTCAATAATAATCAGTGCAATTTATTTGTACATCAAATGGAAATACTATACTCTACGTGATCCAGTTCCTGGTCTAAAACCTGAATTTTTATTTGGTAATCTTCGTCAACTTGGAATTTTTGGACCAAATCGTCAACTAATTGATAGTTATGATTATGCTGCTGAGAAAATGCAAATAAAATTTGGAGATATATTTCAAATTTGGATAGGTGCATTTCATTCTTATGTATTTTGTCGACCAGAACATGCCGCACAAATTTATGAAGATCGTCATATATTTGATCAGGGTGACATACATAAGGAAACGTTTGGAGTACTCAGTGAAAATCTTTTTATCACAACTAAAGGTCCAAAACACAAACGACATGCTAGAGCAATTTTACCTATGTTAAAAAGAAATAAATTTCTATCGCAAATATCGAATATTATCGGATGTGTCGATCAATTAATTCAAATTTGGAAAATTCGATATGAGAATAAAGATGATGTTATATGTACAAGTATATGGAGTGATAATCAGCATATGATGTTGGATATGTTCACATTTTTAACATTCGATTATGATTTAGGCAATTTAAAGTATTTAACTAAAGTAGCAACAAAATTCACTTCCCATGAAAAATATCAACCATCCAATTTTGGTCAAGCATTATTGGTATGGATCGATGGATATAAACGGGTTCTTAGCAATGGTATGCCATATATTGTCAACTACTATCTATTGAAATTTGATCGAAAATATCAAAATGCATTGAAAATAATTTACAATCATGTGGAACAAATTATTTCAAAATATCAAATGGAAATGAATCCGAATGATAAACCTGTTAATCTTGTTTCGTCACTAGTATCTTCATTACAAAAAGATGAAGCATTAGAAAGAGCAAAAAGTGAAACTGAAAAACGAGGAATTACAAAAAAAGAATTATCCGATGAAGTATTAGCAATGATTATCGGTGGTTTTGATACGACATCAAGTATTCTATCATGGTTTATATATTATGTAAGTAAACATCCTGAAGTTCAAGAAAAAATGAAAGAAGAATTAAGACAACATAATATTACACAAGATACATCATTAAATGATTTCAATTTACTCGATAAATGTGAATATATTGATTGTGTTATCAAAGAAACATTGCGATTGGCACCACTTATCATCGGTTCATTTCGAACAGTTACCAAAGATGTTACTGTTGATGGAGTCCATATTCGTAAAGGAGAAACAGTTCTTTCAGCATTCTCTTTGATGCAACGGGATCCAAGATATTGGAAATTAGATCCAACACAGTTTATTCCTGAGAGATTCTTTGGTCCAGATGCTCCCGATGCCAATCATCATCCATGGGTGTTTGCACCGTTTGGTGGTGGTCATCGTACTTGTGCTGGACAAGACTTAGCACGATTCGAATTAAAGTTAATTGTTGTTCGTTTTATGTCATGCGTTACTTTTGTTGATGCACCTGGAAATAACGGTGGTCGTTGTCAAGGAATGGTCGTTACACCAAAGGAAGTTGCTGTTTTCATCAAATTCGATTAATTTTCTAATATAGTACTTAAATAGTTTCGTAATATTTTTTCTATGCATAGTTTTAGATTAGATAGAATACTAATCATACATTGTTCTTTATTCCTTTTTTTCATTTTAACTTCTTTTGAAATAAATTTCTCTTAGACATGTAGAATCAGAGATTTAAATGATGTGGGTATGAATCTCACCTCTTCTTGCACGGACACTCACACTTACGCTCTTATATTAATCAAAACTATTTTATTTTTACTAAGAAACACAAAATGTTTATAGTTATTTGTGTAAGTTATCCATGATATTTTTAAGCATTAAGATGAATTCTTAAAAAAAGAGATGAATAATTAAGAAGCTGTTGAAAACGATGATTAAGATTTGAAAATGTGTCATAAATTTTCAAAACCATCAAGAGAATCAAATGTCTCAGTGAGAAATTCGCTAGATAAATTTCCAATACAACTTATTGATCGATTGAATTTTCTATTAATATAAAAATAAAAAAAAAAGGATTCTTATTGACTGTTCACATAACTCGGTAAATTAAGCTATTGAAAACAGATCAATCTATGCTTTTTGGGTGTGGGGTGTGGGTGTGGGTGTGAGTGTGAGTATGGTGTGTGGGTGTCGGCGTAGGGGTGGGGGTTGGTGAGTAGAAGACCCACACCCGCACCTCACACGCACATCCACACCGACATCCAAACCCAAACCCACACTCACACACCTACACCCTCAAGCTGGATATGACTGCGAAGGAAAGAACCGTGTGGAGCCTGAAAACGTTCAAAAACAAGAAGAATCACACATAACATACGTGCACAATAAAAATCGCTTTAAATTTATTTAAATCAAATCATAATTCTTCTTGATGATGATTGAATGGTAGGAGTCAGGTCCGCAAATTTTATCAATCGAAGAAAACTTTGAAGATTATCTAGAGTTGAAAGCGGAGCGATTCAGTTCGGTCAACTGATCTTATCAAGATGCTTAGGTAGCTAAATTCTTAATGTGTCATATAGTGTAAGAAATTTTCATCCATCTCGTCGAATACTGTCAATGAGGCAACCATAATGACATATTGTTTCATGAAAATCAGAAATCGAGTCAAATATGCAGTATGTGTTCACTCTTCCTGCGTTGCTAAAACGAACCAAATGATATTTCTCAAAAAAACATACAACTCAAAATCACAAATTAAGGAAGAATTGAAATAATCATATTGTTTGTGAATGAAAATGAGAATGTAGTTCTTCATTACTAAAATTATCAGAGTATGATCGATTTCCAAACAATGTAAAATATTGATAAAACCGCCTCTTTAACGATTCATATTGATATTAATACAATTGTTGTGATCATTGTCTAGTTGTAAAAAAGGGTGTGGCTGTAGTTGTTAATCCGGTCTTCAGTCACACTTACACGCACACCCATACCCCTCAAACAATTATATATTCGGATAGCCCATGGAATTCTCTACAACTCTATATATATGTACACATTTTGAATTGCGCTTGTTTGCTAAAAATATGTTTCGAAGTTTAAATAAATGATACAGTGTTGTTTGATTGAAGCTTTAAGACAAAACCAAAATAAAGTTAGTTATTGAAGAGTAAGGACTCTTGAACTGTTTTGTGTTATAAATGACAGAACAAAAGGAGAAAAAGGAACGCATCACTCATGAATATATGTAGGTTAGTTGTTTTAGAAGAACATTCTACTCGAAGAAAAAACGCATGTAGTTTCGGAAAGGATCGAAAGTTTGATATTTTAGCTTGTATAATTGCCAAGTTGTATTATAGTGTAAAGAGTACTGTGATGGAGTAATTATTTCAATGATAAGGTTCGCGATGCTGCTGTCTTTGTAATGGTCTTCACAACATCTATAACAAATAGAAAATTCATAGTCTATTCCTAGTAATCGATCTCCTAATTGTTCAAATATGTAATTAGCATTGTTGACATTCGTGTCCCAAATTTATCATTTTCAAACTAATGATCAATGTGAAATTATATTTTATCATCAAAAAACCGTAGAACATCCTAAAAATTTGTCTCAACTGAACTTCATCATATTGTCAAAAAAGGTTATACTCAAAACATACGTATCATTCACGTACATACTTTTTTGAGTTGTGATGGTTCGTTATATTTTGAATATGATTTCAAATATTGGAGACAATACACTTTGAAATTAATAATACTATTACGACTACTCTCGCTGACCTTTTTCTGCCCAAAACTCTTCTCTATAATAGTGCGACTATTGTTTTACAGGTTCGTCGCAGTGTCTCACTTCTATAGTTCGATCCATTTGAACGTATTTCAACATTCATTCACACTTTGAATTATTCCGTTAATCACTAACTATCAAGAATTGCATTAAATGACTTCTATTTTTAAAGTAGAAAAGATCATTTTCTTTTTCACGTGGATGACTACAGCATCGTCTTATTTGAATATCAAAACTACAATAAAAATAGATAGAAGTAAGTCAGATAAAGTTTGGTCAGATATTTCGCACTTTACTCAGCGAAACATGAGAAGACGATCTCTTTTACCTGAATTTACCGTTGAGATATCTTTCCTTGATACACTTGAGGCTGGTACCATTTGGTTCACTATGACAGAAAAAAAAAGATTCATGCAATTCTACCACTAAAATTAATAGCAAAGTATTTACTAACCACAGCTTGTACTATTAACAGTATACCGTCGTACTACGCCAGAACCATAATCAGCAATATACACATTCCCGATTGAATCGAATTTAAACCCGAAACTAACCATAGAAAATGAAATCACCACCGTACCCCAAGTTGAGTCTGGATAGAATCGATACAATCCACCACCACTCAGTACGTACACTATGCCATACGTGTCAACAGAGACGTCAGTTGGAGAATCGATTTGTCCGTTTGCACCAGCGACTGTTATGCCTGAAGATGATCCTGATGGCCATTTTTGAATTCTGCCGTTGTTACGATCGGCAATATAAAGCGCAGAATTTTGGTCAAGGTAAATGCCCATTGGACACGAAAGTAGACTTGAATCACTTCCAGCAGCACCAGATGAGCTTCCAGCTACTGGCCATCCACTACTTGACCACCGCGACCATTGCATCACTCGATTCATCGAACAGTCTGACACAAAAACAGTGCTCTGCGCATCGACTGCTATGCCCCAAGCAGTTCCTATTATACTGTATAAACCCCAACTTCCACTCGCTGCAACTTCACCAGTGATCGGTGGTGATGTGGACATGAATGAAATATTATCATATTTCATTATTCTATGATTGAACATATCAGAAACATATAAATTTTCGTACATATCAATGAGTGATGCCGATGGGTTATTAACTTGACTAGCACGACTGCCAACCCCACTGGTCAAAACTATTCCAGTCAAGCTGCCATTAGAAAATTTGATAATACGATTATTTCCTCCGTCGCTAACATATATATTTGAATAGCTGTCAATTGATAGATCCCATGATCCATTCAGTTGACTTGTGCTACTCCCAAGTGTTTCATCTCCCGCAACGATAACTGAATTTTGGTTCCAAGTTAAGCAAGGTGCATCTAAAAATGATTAGTCAGGAGCTTGTTTTTAACATTGCGCAACACTGTAGCTGTAATGCAGAATAGACTGTCTTCACTATCTCTCTTGAAGGTGAGGGTGTGAGGAAGAGTAAATAGTAGACCCACCCTCACACCATCATCCTCAATATTTATTTTCACACTTTGATCCATTTTTCTCTGTACGAAGACATACCACAAGCTAAGGCTTTTCGAGACACTTTTCGCTTTTGTTAGACTCCGATGAGAAAATAAAATCTGTAAATTCAACATCGCAACTGAAAACACTGGGAAAAAATTAAAAAGAAAAAGAATTGATCATCTATGTGACTCAATGAGTTCTACAACATATAAAAAAACGAGCGGCTTTTGATGATCCGTCTCTTAAACAATGATCTACTTACTTATGGTTGTGGTTCCTATTAATCCTGTTGCTGATGCTGTTGTTGCGGACGCTGTTGTTGATAATGCCTTTGTTGCTGTTAGTGCTTTTGTTGTTGTGGATGCTTTTATGGTTGTTGTTGTTGATGTTTTTGTGGTTGTTGTTGATGCTTTTGTGGTTGTCGGTGCTTTTGTGGTTGTTGTTGATGCTTTTGTGGTTGTTGGTGCTTTTATTGTTATTGACGACTTTGTTGTTGTGGGTGCCGTTGTTGTTACTGCAGTGAATATTTCAAGATGCACGAAGAAATGACATCAAAAATTTCTTTGATAGAAATACTCGTGGTTTAGATATGCGAACGTATGTTTTTCAAAGAATAAAATATCCTTTCCGCAATAGAAGATCATGTTTTTTCCTTATGGAAATTTACATCCTTCATGCAAGTGTCGTCTTTTATTTAGGACTATTTTCTGGTTCGTCGAAAACTAGAAAACAAGAAGTTTTTGGGAAAGTTTTCTTCTAATTTAAACGCGAACTTTATCGATTAAGTGTCTGAAATAAAGATTTTCTACGTGATAAATCTATGAAAACCGCAGCAACCCTCTGCTGCTCAATTGTAGAATTTAGAAATCTTCCCACTTTATAAACATTTTCCAAAAATGATGATCTTTTATTAAGTCACCCGAACTTTTTCGTTGAAGTGGTCTTCTATTGCGAAGGAGTGGCGGATAGGAGCTTTATACCGATCCCTTCTTACTTATAAGAGATCTCTGACAAATTAGGATGCGAAGCAACTAGTATTCTACATACTCGGGAAATTTTAAGTTCTTAGAATTACGGTCCGATGCGTTAATCATTGAAAGACTCCGTAATTTTGAAATGTGCATAAGTTATTGTTGAGTGAAATAGAAATGTTCTAAGCCTCGTATCTCTACCAGATTTTCGGTTTCTTATTCCAAAAAGTTATATTTCCTTAATAGAATATGCCATCTGACTCTATCTTCGAATTCTAGAAGTACCTGTCGATCTAGAAACCGTTGATGTCGTTGCAACTGAATTGTACGGTGGACATACTTGAGAGACAGTAAATGCTAATGGATAACACATTGGTTGATTACAACGAGTGCTGTTGATACAAACAGTACAAGGTACTGTACACGTCATATTGTAATTCGAGCACGTCGTCAAGCTTGAACAAGGAAGAGCTGAAAAACCACATATACCACCCGATCCAGAGCTAAGTGCCATGCATTCACAGTCAGGATTAGTCGAGCAAGACGCTGCTCGACCGCCACACGTCGACGGTTGACATTGCGAGCCAGCTGGTAGTTGTCCTTTTTAAGACTGAAAGTCTAGTGTTGGTGATATGATAGATGAATACAGTTACCTGATACGCTTGCAACGCATCTAGACAATCAAATTATATGGCTCTATCAAATTATTTATCGGTTAGAGATGAACAACTTACATTAAAGCAGAAAGTACAATCCACATGTTCGTCGTAGTAATAAAAATTTTGTATATGAGTTACTTGATTTTTATACTCATTCTGCAACTATTTATAGGCTTTTTTTGTGAAAATAATGTAAGGAGCTTCAAGAGTAAAAAAGAGCCGAGTTTTGATCTTGTTGAATTATATATGATTCGATGCAGTTTGATTTGATGATTCAAAATATGTTATCGTCATGTTTTTTTTGTAAATATACAACACTGCCCAAAGTTATAAGTAGAAGAAAAATGTTTTGGTTCTTCTGGCATTTGCCCATTTCTTTGCAACTCTTGAGTTAATCTATCTAGTCTTGCATACACAATCAAGGGTGTTGTATCCGTATTAGTGTAAAAAGCGAAAAGGTAACCCGTTTATTTGCCTATTCGTTTTTACTGTATACTTTAAAGTATTTTTAAAAGAAATGAAAAAAATCGAGACATGTAGTAAATTGCGCGCTTGTACATGTCTTCTCCAATGAAATGGAAGCAATTGTGTATTAAGATACTGGTCATTTTCATCACCATTATTCCTCACATTTTCCAGCTTGATAAAAAAAGATATTGTTGAAGCCATTCTCCAACATCTACGATTTATTCAAATAGAAATCAAACACACTATTAAAATGTGATCTAGTATGATTAAAATTAATATGAAAAAATGATTTTTTTTTATCATAATAAATTGTTTAGACAATCATGATCAAATGAAATAAAAAGACGAATAGTTCATTGTTTTTTGTCCATCGATTCACTTGATGTTGGTACCAATTTTATGGGCGATATTTTATGTTCCCTATTGTATTCTTGTTTGAAATTCGTTAAGCAGTTAGAAAACACATCTATTTGAAGTTTCAATAGTGAAATTAAGTTATTCTTAAATTTTTTGCTTGTTTTCGCTGGATGTTCTAACTAGAAGCCATTTCTTTTGTTTGCTGTTCTATTTAGAAAAAGTATTCCTATATAAAACAGTTGCCGTCTTTTCCAACTACTGCTAATTAATTGTTCTAATTAGGAAATTGTCTCTACATATATTATAATAGGAATAAGTAAAATCGTATTCACATCAGCGCCGATGTCAACCAGTGATCAACCTGTTTGGTTATCCTTTTTGAATGCTTTATTAAAGAGATTGATATTATTAAAAAGGGTGTGGGTGTGGGCGTACTTCTAGCCGTTATTCATGTAAATCATACTCACACCCGTACCCACATCCTATTATTGAAAGCTAGTTGTATTGTTGGAATTAAAAAATAAAAGTAAAATTTTTGAAAAAAAAACGGCAAAAACTTTGTTGACAACATAAGAGTATACAACACAATAGCTAAAAGCTTTGTCGGTGTGTGACTGAGACAAAAAGACAATACACCTACACTTTCACTACACACCCCACATCCTATCCAATCACATCCACCGTTTACTATTATTCTTTCTTAATCATTTCTTGACCCTAAAACGAGAGAATTTCGTCTTCGCTTGATATGACGAACATCAGATGAATTCAAGGTTAGGCACGATTCTAGATTCTGACTTGCTTTAGTATAAAAACTTGAATAATTAGGCGAATGAAGAATTATGAATGAATATACTTTTTGTACACCTATGAAGATCGGAGCTTCATAAAAAGGTGTTAAGATCTCTCTGAAAACTCTCTATTACATAAACTATGAATAACAAATTGATTGAATGGCTTTTATGTAGCGTTGATATTTGAATTACACATTGTTAAAGACATTGAAGAATGAATATTAATAAAATACTTTCTCACCAACGCTAACCACCGTTTAATTTGAAGATGTTATTAATCAACAGTGCAAAAACATTCTTCATTCATCAGGCATCCGTCTTTTTCTACAGATTGTATAAAAAAAAAGAGGCGAATATCATTTCTTCACAAAATTAAGAACGCTTATAAATAGACAAAACTATTGAAAGACTTCGATTTATTCAAATTTATTCAACTCAAGGTTCTATCTCTTATAATTAATCGCTTTCTTTTCTTCTCACAATGCTTTTATGTTTACGTTTAATGAAATCTCTTAGTGATCATTAGGATCGAGTATATGTAGTCCAGAAGATTCTTATTCAAACTTTAAATCCATGAGCTCTACCTCATGGTATCCTTAGATCTACCAAAACTAAAAGGAAAATTTGATGATCGTAGATGATACTATAGAAAATCTAAACAACTAAATACATTATATAATAGAGTTCATTGATTTGTAGTTGAAAACAGATCTCTAAACAATCTCGAGTAAAAATACTTGATTTTATTAAAAATCTCACTCGAAAGATTTGATTAATTCTATGCATGCGAAAATAGATTCAAGAAAAGAGAAAAAGGAACTCATCAACGATTTATTGAAGATATTTGTTCCATGGATTTACAATACTCTTCGATTACTTAATTATGGATGCACATAGGTAATAAGCATTAAATATTTTCGCTTTTTTTAGCACGAATTAAAAGACTAATTGGCACTACAGATGCTCGTTGATCAGTTTTCCATTGAATCGTTGTAGATGGGAGATGTGGACAAATATTGGGTTTATTAGAACCAATTTTTTTAATATGAGTTGGATTTTGTTTGCATTGAAGAACTACTTGAAAATCATACGATACATTATTGATTGTCACTTTGTTAATAGGGCATACATGTTCCAGAGATGCATAATTTATCGAAGGAGATGTATAAATATGACGTTGATCTGGTAAGTTAACAACAAATTTTTTACCAGATAGAAGATCGTCACCAGGAAATGGTATAAAACGGTTATGAATAATATCATCAAGTTTATCATGTGATGTACCGTAGAAAGTGGTATACCAATTTCTAAATATTTTGTTATTAGTAGCAAATCCTTTATCCACATGAATTGCAAATAATGACCAACCTATTGGGACTGTAAAATCACTGCCAGCTACAGTTAAAATATTCGGTCCCGATGATTCATAATGAATAGGGCAGTAACATTTATTATATCTTCTATTAAAGTATTGTCGATTTAAATGTAAGCTTTTTAAATATTGTAAACACACTCTTCGTGGACATTGGTCAATACCTAGTGGTATAATATAAAACAAAATTATTTTTATATATCTATGATTTCTCACATTAGAAGTGTATAAGGTTTTGTAATTTGATGTAGAAATATTTCAGTTTAATTAAGACTTGTCTTTGAATCTAGCTTTGAACTTGATTTCAAGTCAACTCGGTTCAACAAATCTACTTAATGTAAAGCGTAAGAATATTGAAAGGAATCGAAAGATTTCCTCATCTACATGTACACTTGAGATTTGGTTTTATTTTACTGCGACTAGAAATCTCAAGATGTATTAGGTTGAAACGAAATTCAAAATGTTCGACCCTAATCGCATCCAAACGAAAGCCACACTTTGAATAGTAGCGAAATTAAGAAATGCTTGTTAGTGCAAACCATGTCGGAGCTGACATGTGACGCTTATAGATTTCTCACAGCTTTATCCTAATGAAATCAATGAAACATCCTCAGAAATGATTCATAGTACTTGTGGAAGTGTATCTAATATGTTTCGATAGGGTCTCTGCTGTCCTCGGCTTTAGATGTTGATTTGTTCTCTAAACATTTGACCATAAGAGCTCAAAATCTGTTTAGAGAATCATGCAATTGTTACTCTAAATTTTTGAAAGTCAAAAGAAATTCTAGTTCAAAAATCATAGCTAATTAGTAATTTACTTTAATATGCATTAATACTTAAAGATTAGGTCTATTCATTGTTACCAAGATTCATACGGTAGAATTCTTCCAGTATAAATGATAACATAAGGCCTTTACCTATATCCATGCATTATCGAATGAGCTATAAAACCTCGTTTGGTGCGGAAATGTCAGTGCATAACAATCGTGCAATTCAATAAAATATACTAGACTGAAAGAGATCTGTCTTCTTGTATTCAAGGTGTACCTGCTGGTGTCGGTGCTGGAGTACTCGGAATTGTACTGGGCGAGGAACCCATCTAGAATTAATAATAAATAAAGCTTGATAAACACAGAAAGTAACACTTACAATTTGACTACTTAGTTACTAAATTAATTTTATCATAAATATTTGCGAACTTTTTTGTGAAAATTCTCGTAAGTAAATGAAATTAATTAGTTGGAAACTTCTGAGCGTTACGTTTTTGAAAGATAGTTATATTCTAAGAATAGGTTGGAAAAAGCCTACAAAATAATATTCAACAGAAAGAATCGCATCTGTGTAATCGTAAATCATGTTTCTAGTTGATTTCGTAAGAAGTGGTAGGAAGAAAAATATTTAAAACAGCACAATGGTAGAAGCCTGCAACAGAAAATAAGAAAAAAAGAGAGAAAGAAATAAAGTCACATTTTATTTTACTCTTCCTAAGGCAAACAAAACAAAAAGGTAACTGAAAACTAAAAACATAAGTTGCATTAACACTACCAAGAGGTTTGTAAAACATCAACATCTAATAATGGAACGTCGGTGTAATGCATGCAAAGCAATTACACCATCATACAATGTTAAAGCTTGTCCAAGTTGTAGACATGAATTTCATGGAAATCACCATCGTTCAGCATCGTCCAATGATACAACTCACAAAGTGTCATCGAAACATGAGCCAAAGGATCTGAGCAAATCAGAAAACAATAAATCTTCACAAGGTGCAACTGCCAATGATTCACTGTCAGCTAATAATAAATATTTTAATCATCCAGGACCTTGTAGCTATAAAAATCTGTGTGCAGAATTTCTCAAAACATTGGAATGGAATGAAGAATTATTCGATCGCAAATTTAATCGTTGTTACTGCTTGAATTGTTATTCAAAGTCGTCAAAGGATAGTCTCATAGAAGGTGGGTCACTTTATGTGATTCCACGTGGATGGTGTAGATTCGGCCTCCATGTTGATCCATTACGAACCAAAGTTGATCATATATGGAAAGATTGGATCGTAACCTACCATGGAACAACGGCAGAAGCAGCCCAATCTGTTGTTACTCATGGACAGTTTCTTGTTCCAGGTGATAAACGCTTAGATGGAAAGAAAATTGCTATAGGTGAAGGACATATTCCCGAAAAATATCATATTTATACATCACCGACTATGGCTTATTCTGGTCACCCGTGTTATTGTCGTCCAAAACTATTTCGATCGAATTTAACACATAAAGTTTACAATGCACGTGTTGCAATTCAATGTCGTCAGAAACCGGGAACATTTATGGTTCAGGGGGAAACAATTGGTGCTGGTAACAAAAGAATTTGTCAAATAATACCAAACAGTGAAGTGGAACTATATACAACAGTTCGTGCATCAGTTGTACCTTACGGTTTATTAATACATTTATCTGAAACCACCTAAAACAATTGACACTAGGAATATAATAATAATTTGTTTCTAGGGTGCGGTGTGTAGGTAATGTGAGTTGGTGTAGGTGTAGTGTTAGTTAATGATCAGACGGCTTACACCTACACCTACCCATATCCTTAAAATTCTACCGCGGATAGATTTTGGTTTTGAAAATATGATTGTTTTATACTATTGGATGTTCTATTTCAGGTCAAACAATCATATGAAATCTTACAATAAGATCATAAAGTCCGTTTCATCTTACAAAAATTATACAAGAATCTTATGAAATCGTATAGAATCTTACTATGGGTGAATCCATGGAAATCCTACCACTTTTCGGAAGATTTTTTCTTTTCGATTTTTTTCGTCCAAAATGCCAGTATGGTCTTGAAAACACTTTTGATGAAAAAAAAATCAGATCCTTCCTATCGAAGATTTCAAGTTCTTGGTCATTTTCTCGGAACTTCTATGATATATTTTCAGCGCTAGATAAAATGTCAGAAAAAAGCCTAGAAAATTCTTCAAAGATAAAATTTTCAAGATTTCGTTGTGCTGCAAAATATGAAAGGCATCTAGAAACACTTTTGTTGAAAAACAAATTACATCCTTTCTACTGAAAATCCTCAGTTCTGAGTTATTTTCTCTGAATACAACGATTACAGTAGTTTATCCACATGGGTGACGACTAATTAATAAAGAGTACAACGACTCATAATCATAGTATGCTCTCAGGAGGATGTGGGTGTGGGTATGAGTTAAGAAAAGAACAACATTCACACCCACATCCACGCCCTACTCATTAAGATGCATGTTCAAAACTAACTATTATATACGAAAAAATAGGAAGATTTTTTCCGCCATGTGTTCGAGACTTTAGTATGATTTGAAATGTTTTGTTGAAGAGAAAAAAGAATTGTGAACTAACAACTCAAGGTAGTTTTTAGTGCATCATGAAAAATTTTTTCTCATTACAAGTCAGTATCGTCCTATGACATGTTGATTTTTTGCACTATGAAATGCACAAATAAATTTTGCAAAAACATGTAACTTGTGTTCTCTTAAACAGTTGAGAATTTTAGAATATTTTGAATCCATTGAAATCAATAGCTCTTATTTATCTAGAATAAGCTTTTTTCGCTACGTTGATACATTCTATTTTGAAATTTATTCTCTCAAATATTTGTTTTGACGCTGCAAGTCATACTGAAATATATATAATTTTGTGTAAAATGTTGGAGCATATTTTAAATTCAAGAAGATCTGTTTCTAAATACTCATACGTTTTTGGATTTTAATTTTCGAATTCGTATAATAGAGACGTTGATTTACTTAATTTTGCTCTGATATCAAAGAATCTATTCGAAAAATTAAGCCGACAGTTTTGTAGAAAATCAAATTCTATTTGCTTTCATAAAAAAAAACTTTAAAATAGATGTAAAATTCTTCAAACATAGAAAATAGAATTGGATCATTTATACTGTATTATTTGTTGTTTTTTCTTCTCAGATAAAAATTTTACAATTTTTCACAAGAATTTTTTATTAAATTCTATTATGAAGACAATGTTTCGTAACAATTTCACCTTTTGAGGAAATTTTTTAATTTTTTTTTGCGGCAGATTCTACATCTCAACTGTATCCTCTCATCATCGACAGTTACATTGTATGAAGACAAAACTATCTTCAGAAATCAAATCAACGACACTAAAAAACCATGCCTCACGCTTGATAAGACATTTATAGAATGATACGTCAAAAGCACTTATGTTCAAATGTGAATCAATGTATCTTTTGGTGTTTTTGTAGTGATGACAGTCATGTGTTATTCGATATAAATGTATGAAATACAGAATTATTTACAATGCAATAAACAACTTGTCTGAAATAGTTACACATTTGCTTTCATCGAAATTTTACATCGATTTAGTTTCCACTGTTTATGAAGAATCTAACTAACAAAGTGAACTGCATGACAGACATGCATTCGATTGATTGTTAAACTTTAAAAAATTTTAATGAATTTAGTAAAGATAATTCTCTCTCACTTTCATCAAATGCGTATTTACACATCACCTATATAAAAACAAAGTAGAATAAAAGCAATCACTTGACTTTACGCATCAGTAACTCGAGCATTTATTTACATATATGTAAAAATGAGATTGATGATAGTTGCAAAGTGTATCAATAATAATAGTATCGCTCGTTTTGTTTCCACGTGCTTTGATATATGTTTGTATTTTTTATCTTTCTTTTTCATAATCTGCATTTTCTCAAACACGTCTGCTACATGAAGATTGACTTAGATTCGATTGATCAAGTCTTGTTCGATGAAAGCAGTAAGATATAGTGTAAACGTCTCGTTCAATACCAAATCAATTTCTTATTACAGTTTTGATTACAGAAATTCCTCTCTCTAGCGAAGATTTAAACGCCGGAAGTCAGAAAATATAACAAAAAAAATTGGAGTTTCTAAGTGAAAAATCCAGTTTTTTGGTCAAAGAACTTAACATCGATAAAAATCTAATTTTTTTATAAAAGAAAAAAGAGAAAAGATGAAGAATAGTGAATATAATTCCACTTTGATCTAAACTATTGGAATAGTGAAGATGACTTCGGGTATCTTCTTTTCCACTATACTAAAATTTCGAACAGAACCAGAGACTGAAAATTTACTTAAATTTACACGGATGAAAAGGAGAAAAGAAAAGAAGAGAGAGGAAAGAAACAAAAAGCTATGTTCTAATTGTGGACAAAAATTGAGTCACTTAGTACAAAAATTTTCCCAATATAGAACAGAAATATTCGTTGAACTCATTTTTACTGCGTTTCTAAATCGTGGACACTTTTTCGTGATCAAATGATTAATTGTTGTAATTGAAAACAACTTTTATTAACAAAACAAATACATAAGAAAAAAATTTATTCCTCATCATTGTTATTTTTAGCATTTTTTATAATGTTAACATAGTGTTAGAAGACAACTATCAAAATCATTATCTAGAATATATCATTGTTTCGGTAACATAAGTTTATTATAATTCATCAAATTTTGTTATCGGCTAATTACCATCCGTTAACATTCGACATTTTATTCATAAAATACAATTTGAACATTTTTCGAGTAATTAGAGATTGTGATTGTAATTTACATTATATGATTTTACAAATACGTCATTTGTCAAAGTAATATTACGAGAACACCACTTGAAAGGAATTTTTTTCTCTCAAACATTTTTTCTTATTTACGTACTAGCAAGCTAGATGATAAAAGTGAAAAGAAAATCTTTGTGTTTTTTTTAAATAAATAAACTGCTAATAAATTAATAGCTACTACTTAGATAAGAAGCCATCTAGTGATTTATGAGTACTGAAAACTTAACATCTAATAAGGTACTAATTATTCACTTCAACTAACCGACTCAGAATGTTTTTTGGATCATGCAGACACTAAACTTGCATTAGTGCTGACGGTAGTGAATCCGTGTCTAGTCACTTAGTTACTTGAGTAAAGTAAAGGTGAAGTCATGGATGAAATCAGTCTAGATTTTTATCACTAGTATGAACTGTCCGGTAACTGATATCGATTATGTTCATGCGTGAAATGCTACTCATCATTTCTATTGTAGAGAACTTTTCGGAGAAAAACATAAAGAGATACGGAAGATAATAACTTTGAATAGTTCGATTCTGCTTTAATCTACACAATTTTCTTGTTTGTTAAGCTTCATATTTCACTTTTGATTCATCCATCATTGTTGACTAGTTAAATATTATTATTTGTATTTAAACAACCTAGATACTTCAGAAATGTTTTGGACTATCTTAATTTCATCAATCTCTATATTAATCATTGCAATATATGTTTACATGAAATGGAAATATTATACACTACGTAGTCCAATACCTGGTCTAAAACCCGAATTCTTATTTGGTAATCTTCGTCAACTTGATATTCTGGGATCAAACAGAGAACTAATCGATATTTATAATCATGGTGGTGAAAAAATGCAACAAAAATTTGGAGATATATTTCAATATTGGATAGGTGCAAATCATTTTTATGTATTTTGTCGAGTCGAACATGTCGAACAAATTTATGCAAATCGTTCTCGATTCGATCGTGCAGACATGCGTCTAAAAACATTTGGATTAATAGCAGAAAATTTTCTTATTGCACTTATAGGTGCAAAATACAAAACGACATGTCAAAGTAATTTTGCCTATGTTAAAAAAGAATAAATTTCTATCGCAAATTCCAATTATCATTAATTGTGTCGATCAATTAATTCATGTTTGGAAAATTCGATATGAAAATAAAGATGACATTATATGTACATGTCTAGTGAATGATAATCAACATTTAATGTTAGATACATTCATACTTCTAACATTTGATTATGATTTGGGCAATTTAAAATATTTAGCTAGAGAAGCAACACGATTTAATCCAAACGAAAAATATGAATCATCCTATTTCAGTCGTGCATTATCGATTTGGCTCGATGTATTGAAACGTGCCACAATGAATGGTATGCCATACATCGTCAATTATTATTTATTGAAATTTGATTGAAAGTATCAAAATGCATTAAAAAAGCTTGAAAATCATGTGGAAAAAATATTTTCAAAATCTCAAATGTAAATGAATCCAACTGATAAACCTACTAATCTTGTAGCATCATTAGTATCATCATTACAAAAAGATGAAACATTAGAAAGAACCAAAACTGAAGTCGAAAAAACAGGTATTACAATAAGAGAATTATTAGATGAAGTATTAGGATTGTTTTTTGCTGGTTATGATACAACAGCCACAATCCTAGCCTGGTTTATGTATTATGCAAGTAAAAATCCTGATGTTCAACAAAAAATAAAAGAAGAACTGAAACAACATAATATTACAAAAGAAACATTACTTAATGACTTAAATCTACTCGATCAATGTAAATATATTGATTGTGTCATCAAAGAAACATTGAGAATAGCACCAATTGGTATCGGATCGTTACGAACAGTTACCGACAATGTTACTATTGATGGAGTCAAGATTTTTAAAGAAGAAACAGTTGTATCGGCATTCACTTTAATGTAACGCGATCCAAGATATTAGAAATTAGACCCCAAATTGTTTATTCCTGAGAGATTTTTCGGTAATGATGCTCCTGATGCTAATCATTATCCGTTAGTATTTGCTTCATTTGGTGGTGGACATCGTGTTTGTGCTGGACAAGAACTAGTACGATTAGAACTCAAGTTAATTATTATTCGATTTATGCTATTTGTTACTTTTGTTGATGCACCAGGAAACAACGGTGGTTATCGTCAAAAGGCAATTGTTTTTAAAGTACATGTCTTCTTTTCAATAAACAAGATCATAGATATAAAGTTCACGTGTAAAAGTCATTGTTGTCGCAGACAAAGATTCAAAATTTGTTGACTTTACTTAAAGTCTACTGAGAAAATGTAAGATGTTACGCAACTGCCATATTTTTTGAGGGTTTTGAGTCTTGTCTTTGGCAATTACCTAGAGCTATATGCACATTCTTAATTTATATTAATAAATATTGAACAGTTATTACTAATGATGAACAAACAATTGAAAATCGTACAAACAAAATTTTAACTTTGAAGATAAAACATAAAATACACAAACATTTAATATAACTTGATTGAAAAGATGGCAAATTATTGATATTATCTAATTATAATAGTGAAATTATTAGTGAAGTTGATACTGGAAATGAAACATGTGTTTTTAAACATGTCAATATTAATAATCAAACAAGTTATACAGTTCAGTTTGCAAAAATCGTTGGACAAGCGGAAAGAAAAATGAGTTTGAAAATCTAAAAGTTTGTTTCAACAAAGAAATATATATTGATTTATTATGAAAAAGACCTGAAAAGTAGGCACCGGTTAGTTATTGTGACTGAAGAAAGAATATAGGTTAGAAACTTTTAAACAATAATTTGTATGTGAACTGATCATAGATCTATTCAAATTTTCATATCCAATCTTTAAGTTGAATTCCTATTTGATATCGATTCGAATGAGAGCTAGTCTTCAGTCGTGCTGACTGTTATTATCTAGAATGAATGGTTTATTAATTGTATCAATAGGTAAGCCAATATTCGTGCACACCCCATTGAAGAAAACCGACTCAAAATTAGATTAAAATCGATTATTTTTGGATTAATAATCTATTAATATGACACTACTTGAATCTTATTAAAATAGTGCTAGTATAATAGATTTTAGTCTGATTTTTTAGCCGTTTTTTTTTCACATGGATATATGCAGATCAGAAATGTGCACTATTCGCATGGAAAATACAACGAATGCAACCGCGTCTAAATCATATTTGCTGTTAAATTCGATTAGTAGGATTTTTTTCAAAAACATCTATTTTAAACGTTGAAAAGTTAAGAGTAGAGATTTATTTATTGATAGACGCGCATGCCATTCAATGTCATTAAGAATGTCCTATTGAAAAAAGTCTAATATAAAACTAACAACAAAAATTTACGAAGTATTAATCATTCGTGGAAATAAGAAAAAATGTATGTTGATTTTATTTTATTCTAGAATTTTTATTGTTTTTAAATAAGGGTGCGGGTGTGAGTGTGTGTGGGTGTACAAACGACGAGAAGACCTACATCCACACCGTAGTCGATCAATGTATATTTTGAAATCATAACAAAACGAATAAATCTCACAGTGAATTGATTTTGACTTTTTTTCTGTGAATTCATCGTTTTCAATTACGATAAACAAAAAAACTGCAAAAAAAATTAAACGAAAGGAACAATCAAAGTCAATACTGATAATTTCATACTAAATAACTTTACATGTTCCGGATCAGTAAAGTGCATATCAAACAACAATAATTTATGTACTAGACTTTTTTTTCGAACAATTATTTTTTTTGGTCGTCATTACTAATGGAATTGTTCATGATAGTACACCTCACGTGGTGTAGGAACTACTGAACTGTATATGAAAAGTTACGTTCAATACATTACTATGTAGGTATGAGTCGGTCACATTATTATTTTTTTGCGTTCTGTACACCATTCAACGGCTCTCACTCATTAAATATGAAAAGTGAAATAGTATGTTATACTAACCATTTATACCACGCGTTTCTTTCTTTCTTAAAACAAACGGTTAGCGTGTTGTGCGTCAGTGACCTTTAATATAAAGAAAATTTTATATGAGCGTCGCATCGCATCTTTTCTCTTCTATTCATTTTTATGTATGGAGATTTTGTTTATCACGTTTTTATTTTTTTCTTGATCATCGTACTATGTCACTTCGTGGTAATTCTAGTTCCTTATCTTTGTAAATATTACATCTACATCAGTAGTATCAAATCTGAAACTTAAACTCAATTATTGAATAGTTTGTTCAACTATTCTTTTTCTTCAAAATAGCTACAGTTCAAGTATTCAATGTGTTTTTTTCAATATTTGAACTTCATCTATTCAACTATTCAATTTTTTTTCAATAGTTAAAGTTCGACTATTCAAGATATTCAATTTTTATAGAACAGTTGAAGTTTAATTATTCCAAAAGAAAAGCGAATAATTGAATAGTTAAATAGGCTGTTCAATAATTGAATTTAAGTTTCAGGTTTGACACTATTGACCAGCTGATGAAGAAAAAAATTCTCATCAAATCTGTAGTGTTTGAAAATAATGTTGTCATGAAACCACTAAGGAAGATAAGAAAATATAATAAACTTTGTAATGAAAGTTGTATCGTTGTCATATCTGTAAGAAGTCACTACTTTCATCTTCTACGATAAACATAAAGAAATAAAATATTAACTTCAACACAATTTTACACCTCTTCTTTCTAGAATAACTAGTATCAATAGATTAATAATCAATTGTTTTAAGTGAATCATACGAGTAAGTCTCAGAAAGCATTCATATTGACTATTTTGAAAGGAGATTATATAATAAAAATTAGTCTCGAACGTAGAGAAGAATTTGTTCGATCTAATTATCTTCCATAAAAGAAAATTCGAATTTAAAATACAGTATAACCTCAACATTGCAAACACCATCGAGACCAAAGAAAATCGTTCAGTATTGTAGTGTTCATAAAGGAGATGGTTAAGCAAATATGAATCAACTGATAAATTTTATCATATTCTTTTTTCATTTTGAGTGTTTTTATTACAATGTAATAGTTTTTTTTTTTACTTTCAATACTATACAATTTTTTACCCATCGAATTTCACAATCTCTGAGGTTCTGCAGGTTGAAAAAAATCTTGAATAGATCATTGTTTAGACGTATTTGAGTATTAATGGACATCAATCAATCACCTAATTCTTTCGTAGTTTTTCTAGGATACAGCTGTAAAATTGGATCCGAAATTAGAATTTTTTTTTCGTTCACTAAGCGACAAATTCTTTATCAACAATATTCTTGATGGTTTGACTAAAATCATGATTAATCTTTCGCGTCGCCTTTTTGTTTAAATTAGCTTCATAATCACTAATATATTCATTTTTTTCTTTGGTACCAAAAAAGTACGTTCCTATTCAGAATCAGGGGGTGTTCATAAACGGAGGTTTTACTATAGTTATGAAACAATTTCAGAAAGGTGAAAATCGATATTCAGCGATTGTTTTCTCAATAATTGCAAACGAGAAAAACGATTTAGTTTGAAACTTTATATCGAAAAATTAGACGATATGAATTACAGCATAGATTAAGTGAAATTATTTTAGTTTATATGACTATCCGAATATGAACTTACCGAACGAGTTCATGCGAGTTGTTCATGAATTTTAATATTTTTTTCATTACTTCCAAAACAGACTGTTACGTACCAGAAGCGTCGTTAATGGAGAAAGTGCTCCATAGAACAACAGATTCACTCCTTCTTCGTAGACTGCTGATATAAGGTAGAAAGACCATCGACATATCGTTCAGAAGAGAACGATCCAATAGATATGAGCTTTGCATGCACAATTAAAACCGTATGCATATCTACACTTTTTTTAAAAGTCCTGCGAATTTTCGGAGAACCTCCTGAAGAAAAAACCTACAAATCGTATTGTACTTATTATTGTTTCACTTATTTTTTCTATTTTCTTTTTTTTTTTGGATGAGCGCTTGTAATATATCTGCATTATGTCCTATTTATTATGAATCGATTTCTCGATATGCAAATAAAGTAGCATTAATCGATCATTCATCTTCATATACTTATGAACAACTTCATTCTATTGCACGTCAACTTTCACATCGTCTTAGTTCACTTTGTCGACAAGAGAAATCTACTGATGACACGATTGATGCAAATAGTGTACAAATTGGTGTCTTATGTCCAAACGATGCATCATTTGTTATTGCTTTGTGGGCATCATGGATGATTGGAGCAACTGTAATTCCTCTATCCTTACAACATCCACCAACATTAATTGCTTATTTTCTTAATGATGCACAATGTCGAGCAATTATTGTTGGTGATGATCATTGTAATGATTTGATTAAAACAACTTTAGAAAACAATTCATTAACTGATATACCTATTATAAATATCAATAAAAATGATTTAGCATCAACTATTACACATGATGATAATTTACTATTACCAACAATTGATCGAAAAAATGCTTTAATCCTTTATACAAGTGGAACAAGTGGTAAACCAAAAGGATGTGTAATAACATTTAATGCTGTTCAAGCACATGTTGATTCAATGGTTAAAGCTTGGGATTGGATAACAGATGATGGTAAAATTTTTTGTTTTTTTTTCGTAATTAAGGAATTCATTTTTATATGTGATATTTAGTCATATTACATGTTTTACCACTTCATCACATTCATGGTCTTATAAATGCATTATTAACTCCACATTTTATTGGTGCTAAAGTGATTATGATTCCTCGTTTTGATGCGTCGAAGGTTATTCAAAATAGAAGAAAAAAAATTTATTTTCTTTTAAATTCTCTATTCTTTATAATATAGGTATGGGAATATTTAATACGTCCTGCTCCTAAACAACAAGTCACAGTCTTTACAGGTGTACCAACAATTTATGCAAAACTCATTCAAGAGTACGATGCTAAATATGGATCATGCTCTCAAACAAGAGAGATTATTCGTCAACAATGTTCACAAAAACTTCGTTTAATGATGTGTGGTTCTGCTGCATTACCCGAAAGCATTTATCGACGATGGTATCAAATAAGCGGTTATAATCTTCTTGAACGTTATGGAATGACAGAATGTGGAATGGCATTGTCGAATCCATTGTATGGAGAAAGAATTCCAGGTTTGACTTAGAATTGCAAAAGAATATAATTTATATTAGAAATCATCTAAGCGATAAGGAACTTTTCTAATGAAACTATCTCAAATATTTAGGTACAATACTTTGAAAATATTTCATATTATTAGTGTACAATGACCCAACCATTGAGTCCTGCTTATTTAATTTAGTAAAACCGAGAAATCATAATGAATCATTTAGTTCAATAAGAAAAACTCTCTCTATCCGAATGACTTGTTAGACGAATCTCACTGTCAACGTCCTAACAAATCCCAATCAATTTAGCATTGCTATTAAAGAGAAATATATGAAGTTGCTCTGAAGCAGGACACATACTCATTCTCTGATTGTAACTAAACAATTACCAATTGTAATAATGATGCCAAAAGAAAAGTTTAAATTTATACAAATAAAATCATCTTCTTGTATTGAAGACACTCTTGACATACTTTTTTTCCGAGTATCTCGAATGTTATGTGTTATGAGAGCTCGATATCTCGTTCTGGCGTCATTCAACATAGCTTGTCAAACTTTACATATGTCACCAATGTATTTTTTTTTAGTAAAATTTTTGAGCTTCGAGAGAACATTTTTGGTCATGTAACGCTGTGACACAGGCCTTTTTGAACAATTTTAAGACATTTAGCATAGTTACAAAGATTTGATTTTTACAATGATGAGTTCTAATCGTCCGAAGCAAGAATCAGATCGATACATCGACATAGAGGCTTAAAACAAGATTTGAAACCCTATACAAATCTATATATTATCTTTAACTGCGAAAGCCGAAACTAAACACGTCCGCATGTAGAGAATGAAATTCCACATCGAACGATATGTTTCCTGTTGCTTGTTTTTTTGGAACAAGTCCGTGATTTGGAATTCCGAAATACAATTTTTGAAAAGTTTTAAATCTAATCATCAATATCGAATTGGTAATCAGCATAAAAACTGTATCTTGTAACTTATTTAAATCTAACTAACTTAGAAACAAAATTTTTCAAACTTGATCGGCAAAGTGTTGCGTCACGTAGATTAGAGCTTTTATATTATTTTTGTTTTTAAAATCAATGCCTTATAGTTCTTGTTTCGAGACTTTGGAAGTAAACAATGATGGACAGTTATTCAAAGTACGTTGTATTCTTATAAATAAAAATTCAATATTTCGAGTTCTTCTCAGTTAATCTTTATGATTTTTTTTTATATTAAGCTCTTCAAAGATTGTCTAAGTACCGTACAAAAAAAATTATTAATTTATCTTCAATAAATCCTGAGATATCAGTTGCTCAATGCTCAAGAGTTTGCTTTCTAGTGGTGTTTATTCAACGAGAAAGTTGTATAATCAATTAATTTCTTGTTATTTGAATTTTGAAAGTTTGTGGTATTTATAAAAGACAATTTGTACATCCCAAATATGAAGTTAGTTGATTCTTTCATTGGACTTCCTATTAGATCTTTTTTCTCAATATCAAATGTACAATTAATGCTTAAATTAGCAGAAAGATTTGATGTGCACAAATATCTCATAACTAAGATTACCCTATAATATACAGCATGTTTATTTTGTGCTTTAGTGACTATTATGACTTATCAATAAACTGAAGTTTATTTCTCATCGGTTAATGCGGATAAATCGTTTTCTACATATCATACTTGTTATTCTTTTGCAAGTCTAATAATGAATTGTTGTAAAAATCAATATAACTTAGAACAAGTCATCATGTTGTAGCCGCTAATTTTAGATAAACCATAGTTTCTCATTAAAGACACGTGTTTTTGTACAGAGAACTTTCAAAAATTCACTTTTAAAACCATAGGGTAATTTGTTACATTAAATGTACAGTTACATCCGAGAGTGTCAGCGGGTTTAGTAAGAAAGATTCACGCGAAGATTCGCACACCAACACTCACTCACACCCATCTTATTATATTTTTTCAAAACCTCCTGCAGTTCGACCGATTGAAGAATAGTATTTAGAAAAATTCACATACGTATATTCTCTCCTCATATAATGTACTAAGATGTACTACTCACAAGTTCCTAGAACCGGAATTATTTATTTTTTTGAATGACTTTACAATTCACTCATATATGTACAGGGTGGTAAATAATATTATTCCAGGGGGGTAACACTATGATCTCGAATCGGAGATATCATGAATTTTATACCAAATGAAAGCTCGTGAAAATGGGGTTTAGTGATAGTAAATAGTAAGACTTTGAAGAACTTTCTTGTATTAATTTATCAAACGTTACGATTTTTATCGACATAAAATATTATAAAATCAGTTCATCGAAAAAGTTCG